GAGAGAGAGAGAGAGAGAGAGAGAGAGAGAGAGAGAGAGAGAGAGAGAGAGAGAGAGAGAGAGTCAAACAGAGTCGCAGTGCCTTGTTTAACAACAAATTTTAACAATACACTACCTTAGAAGTACACAGTTCTATCTGCTCACAACCTAGTTTTGAGATAGTTGGCGTAAACAATTTTGAGTTTCACAATGTGAAAAGATTTTTCGAATGCGGTACTTTGAACGTCTTGATAACAACTCTGAATTATCGTACGATTTTGAAAGAGCAGATAGAACAAAATTGGTTTCTGAGCTCTTGGTCACAGTAACTCAAAACGGCCAAAAATGTGAGAGAGAACTTTGTCATCCGGAGGTAGCGAATAGAACAAGCGCCAGTATCATTTTCTTAAACCTACCTCTGCTGGGGATTAGAGGGTGCTCTCGTATAATTTGTTCTTTCTTTCCAACATTCGTGTATCGTTCTGATCTCTCTTCCATCTTTGTTTATGTTACTCTCTTAAAATTTACATGTATATGTGACCTTATTGTGTTGCAATTGTCGTGAAACTCTTACTAAAACTAAACTAAACCCACCTCTATAAACCAGGAGAGAATGAAGATAGCAGTGACCCAATATTGGAGAACATAAGCGGATACATACGTCCATAGAGCAGTTAAGAAGTTAACTGTAATGAATCTCTTTTCTGTTTCTCCTCCTAGAGTATGCAGCCGTCAAGCCCAAAGTCTCCAGGAATCGTCAAAATGGATGACGAGGGCGTAGATAACGGTGACGATAAAGAGCAAGACATCAATATCGACGATATCTCAGACGACGAGGGTGAGGCGAGAACGACCAGTAATGACGTCGCACACAACGGACGTCATTCTCCCCAGCGTCTGGGAGTCAAGGAGTCGGCTTACTTGAGGACAGGAAGTGACGACAGCGTGATGGACTCTCAAAGCGACAGGAGGCAGGGCCACGAGAAGCTTCCGGTGAGTTCTAGAACGTCTGCTCTGTCCGAGTCCCCGCCCCCTTCCCCTGGTGGGCGGGGCAGTGCTGACGTCATGATGGACAGCCTTCACAAAGACGCCAGCTATCTGGACGATCTCAAACAATACCAGCTCCACGTTCTAGAAAGACAGCGGAAATTCGGAGACCTTGGGGCGATCGGTCTAAGACTTATGGGGGGAGAGGCGAGAGACTCAATCGGAGACCGAGGGCCCATGTCTCTGTTAGCGTCTCAGCATCAGCAGCATCACCACTTCCAGCGACAACAACAACAACAACAACAGCAGCAGCAGCAGCAGCAACAGCAGCAACAGCAGCAGCAGCACATGATGGACCTCCTGTACAGAAACCACTACCAGCAGCTGTACCTCATGAGTCGCAACCCGGCACGCCCATCCTCACTATCCCCGCCCTCCTCCACGTTTTCTGCCACGCCCACCCCTCAAGCCCCTCCCCCATTGTTTGTGTCTCAGAACCACCTCTCCCCCCTCCAGCCGGTCATCTCAAGCCGCTCCCTACTGCGCGACGTCGGCGAGACTGGAACCCACGCCTTCAGAGACTTCCACCCCTCTCCCAAACACATCCGTCTCGGCTCTGAAAACCAAAATCGAATTCAGTCTCCAACAAACCCAGACAGGGCCCTGGGCTATCGCGGTAGCCCTCACAAAGACGACTCGAACCCCAGTCGTAGTCCACACGGGCAGAACAACAACCCCGAGGACCACGAGCGCGGTTTGATGAACGCGAGCGCGTCGGAAAAATGGGACTCGAACTCTGGACAGTGTTCACCGGGTGGCCGGCGAGCTACTGCACCCGACACAGCAGCAACGTTTGTGACGAGAAACTCTCTGCCTCAGTCTTCGTCTCCACTCCCTTCCCCACCCCCAGCACATCCACACGGCGCGCTCAGAGACGAGGAGAGGAATGCAACAACAACATCATCAACAACAACAACAGCAACAGCAATAACAACAACGGCAGCGACAAGAGCGACACGAGCCACACCCCCTCCGTCTCCTCCCCCTACCAACCCCACCTCCTCCGGTATCTCCTCCAATCGTAAGAGATCGGCACCAGATGACGTCACAGACGCCACGCCCCCTTCCTCCCCGAACCTGACAGCCGCTGTGGTTAGTCCACGGACCTCCAAACTACCCTGGAGACCTATTGACTGTGGTCCACCATCGCCGCCACCACCACCACCACCATCACAACCCCCGCAACCGCAAACACAACCACTATCAGCATCAACATCAGCATCACCACCATTGTCGTCATCATCACATCTCTTACAACCCCCACCATCATCATCATTATCATCATCGCCACCACACCCACTACAATTACCGCAACCACAATCACTACCATCATTATTATCATCATCATTATCATCATCATCTTCCCCACCACCACCACACCCACTACAACCACAACCACAGCCCTACAGCGAAGAATACGGTGATATCGATCAGCGCAATCATCGACAACACCACAATCATAATCTACAGCAACATCATCTACATCATCATCATCATGAGCGAGGTACGGGTCAGGGAGAGCAGTCACTTCACCACCGTGAGGAAGCAGACCTGAGTGGGCGTGGCTTGGAGGAGGAAATGAGGTCAAGGTCGCCGCTGCTGTCACCTGACGTAGACAGGAGCTCCGCGCGGAGCAACACGCCCTCCCCGGCCAGGTCTAGGAATGCCTCCGTCACGGACAACGAGAAAGAGGAAGACCTTCGTCTGCGCTCCCCGGCCAGCGAGTCCCCGCCGGTCTCACCGGGCAATGAACACTCTGGTGAGTCCACGGGCAGGAAACACGCCATAACTCGTCTATCTATCTATCTATCTATCTATCTATCTATCTATCTATCTATCTATCTATCTATCTATCTATCTATCTATCTATCTATCTATCTATCTATCTATT